TTGTTTTTGGAGGAAGGTCACCTAATAAATGTCATTATGAAAAATCTAACTTCTCACTTTAAATCAATACTTTTACTTTTAATACTTAAGTACAAAAATATCAGATACTTTAAGACTTTTACTCAAGTAAAATTCTTAAAGGAGACTTTAACTTTTACCAAAGTAATTATTTGGCAAGATACTTGTACTTTTACTTAAGTATCACTTTGTGGTACTATATACAACACTGGTTGCAACGATTGTGAAGTTTGAAATTCAACAATCAGAAAGATTTTAAGAACCTTGCATTGCCTGTGCCACAAACCAAATCTCAAACAAGTATTTGGAAAGCAAACTCTGCTCTTGAGTGAGACTCACGTGAGGACGTAGTTGACGCTGACGATACAGTGAGGTCTAGAAGATCGACTGTTGTGGACGATGGTGGCGTAACTCTGGACCCACACCCAGCCACCGTGCTTGGCCAGGAAGCGGTAATACTTGGTGGTGACTTGGCCTTTTACCAGCACTGAAGGAGATTTAAAAAAAAAAGATAATGGCTTTAACTGCATGGACGAGCATTTTTAACGTGCAGTTTCTGAGTGTCAGCACATGGAAGCTGCAAGCATGGCTTGTTTGAACTGTTACGAGCAGACTGGAAAGCAGAGATGAAATAACTCACGGAGGTGATGAGCACAGCGGAGGTGGAAGATATCACAGCTGTGGACATGATGGTACAACGTCTTCTCTATGAGATCCTGGGGCTCGTAGCCGGTCAGCTCAGCCACCCTGGAGGAAAATGGAGTTTAGCATTAAATGGATTCAAGGTTTTTATTTTATTTAAGCTGCAGCAGAACTTTTCACCCCCTTTCATATTAAATTAAGAAAACCCAAACCTTGAGTCCAGGAAGATGAGCTTCATGTCCAGGCTGGCCCTGAACATGAACATGTTGCTGTGCAGTTTGATCTCCGTCACGGCGCTGGGAGGCAGAGAGTGACCCACAGCCACCAGGCCCACGTTCTGGTAGCAGCCCTCGAACGGCGACATGTCCAGACTGTACTGACGGATCTTCAGGTAGCCGCTGCAGTGAATCACCTGTTGGGAGGAGGGGCAATAATGGCAAAAATGAGTTTTAAGGAAATTTAAAAGACAAATCGCTCAGTTTTGCTGCATAATTTCTATCCTACACAAACACCAGAGGTGCTTTTCATATCCCATATCCAACT